TTCATTATATATATATCATGTATTGTATTTCAATCTTTGACATACCTTGCCACGTGCTTCAGGAAGGCCGTCCGTACCCATTTTGGAACTGGTCCCTTCTTGTCGTGGATGATGATGATGAACAGCGTCGTCAGCATGAAGAGTGCCATCAGAGCCATGCACACAATAATCAGCAAAGCTGGAAGAGAAGGAAAAAAAACTTCTAACATTCCACGGCCTCATAAACATTTTACCTCTAAAGACAATGTCAAACTTTAACGAATTTGGCCCCCGAACACCAGCCGAACGCCCCTAAACCATGGTTGGGAGTAGGTTGGCTGGTGTTCGGTGATGTTGGCTACAATTCGGCTGCGCAAGCCAGACGTTTCATAAGGCCATGTTGATTTGATTATATGGATGACATCCTCCGGGAGCCCCAAAACTGATGCGCGCGTGCGAATAAAAAAAACATTTTTGCAAAAAATAAGTTCTTTTGATTATGAAATCTACGTCGTCATGAGGGTTGAGCAAATGGCACAGAATATGGTTTGGCAAATAATCTAGTCTTCAAGTTCATTTCTTTACAATTTCGTCTTTTTTCGTTTGATTTTGGCATTCTACGACATTGGTATAGTTTTTATTATTTTTTTTTGTAACTTTATGTATATTTTTGCTCATTTTGCAACTGTTTTGTACGATTTACAGTATGGTTGAAAACTTTTTTTTTTTGGAAACGGCCTTGGAAACGGCCGAAAATTCCGAAAATTCATGCGCGCGCGGATGTCACCCATATAATCAAATCAACATGGCCTAATGTTTGAAACATTGCGGATTTGTCGAGAGGCCTAAACATAGTCGGTCAAAGATTCGGGTGTGAATCGGCAGTTTTCGAGGTGTGTTTTGGGTCGAATCTGACTCATATCGTATGTAAAAGTAGGCGTGGCCTAAATCTGGTCAGACAGCTATCAAACCTTATCAATAAGCCGAACTGTTGGTGTTCGCATGTCCGTGGCCAGAGGAGGAGGCTAGGTCCAAGGGTTCCGAAGAACTTTGACGTTCGCTCGTCTTTTAGACGGTGGAAAGAACCTCATACACAACTTATTTAAAAAACATGCTAAGGATATGGTGCTCGGGAGCAAAGTCGATCCTAAATGTGTGATAAGGGGATTACCAATAAATGGCAGGCTATTGGAAACTGGCAGGAAACTTGTGACCACCACCAGCGACACCACCATGGACAGCAGTAAGGTGACGCCGAATCCAATCCTGTCGCCTTTATCAATAGGCATGATGAAGGTGATGATCATGAGGATGATCAGGATGAGACAGGGAGAGATGGTTGTGGAGTAGTGATAGGTGGGATCTCGTTTGAGCCTCATGGTCAGGCAGGCTGTGTTGTTGGCAGCTGAAAGAGTCGTTTTGCCACTCCACTCTCCTGTTTTAATGTCGGCCTCGTTGCTTTGGCAGGTCAGGAAGTTGCGGTCCTTATGCGTTGTTGAGCTGGAACAGTCTTGAGAAGAAAATAAAAAAAAAACAGAGATGTACTATTTGCCATATTTGGTATATTTAACAATCGCCTGTTTCACGGTAGTAGAATCTTAACAACACATTTGACGTCGTGGCGTGGCTGTATCATTTTTTTCTTCCAAGGTATCTTCGTAAGTAAGATATTGAAGAATACATGGAATAAAGTTTAATACTTCTGATTGAAAGAGATCGCGGCTGCAAAATAATTCGAAAATTTTAATTGCTTAATGTGCCTTGAGTAGATGGCAAGGTGGACCCTGCTACAGTA